AAATAAAGGCTGGAATTACAAGGGAGAGTTTCAAAGTTCGGAAAAATACCATCGGATCGGTATATACCGAGTTGAGCGTCGATGCCAATGTCTTCCGCACTTCGAAAAGTTTTGAATTATTGCCCGAAGACCAAGGGAAGACCAATCGGTATTCATTGTTTGACATCGCTTCTTCTTGTGTTTGTTCTGTGGGGTGTTCGTTGTCTGAACATAAAAATCTTTCGCGAAAGTGTTCGTTATCCGATCTGTTCGTTAACCGATCACCCATTGTATATTAATTAATAAAGATGAACAAAAATTATTGACACAATGTCGAATTGCAATTTTATTAAATTTTTAATTTATTTAAAATATATGCTCTCGATTTTAGTAGCGTCTTGCTGCTGTGCATTATATTTTTCCAGATAACAATCGAGTCCTGTGGGTCGTCTGACTGACTCTGTCGTGGATAAAATTTTTCAATTAAAATGACATGAAAGCGAAAATCGATTATAGTTTATCGGACTCTCCTGCCACTAAGCTTCTCATATCTGGTCTTGACTTGCATCTATATTATCAGACACCGTTTTCGAGTTTAAAAAACAAACAACAGTAAGAATTTATTGGTTTACGATGTTTTCAAATTGCAATCCAAAAAATTTAAATTTATTTATTGCACAAAATGTTTTCGTATCAGATATAAAAAATGAGTTATAAAGAAAAAAAATTACTAAAACACGACGATGTTTATCTGTCAAAAAATGAGGCAAATTTTGAACTTGCTCATTATGTTCGAATATACGAGGATTTCCTGTATTATGAATTACAGCAAAATATGCACTCTGCGAATTACTGATCGAATAAATTAACTTTAACTATAATTAATACAAGCAAGTATCGATGAGACAACTTTTTATTCAAAAAAGTTTTACATAAAGATATTTTAATTATATATTAACAATTTGAATATTAATATGAAGTCATAATATTTTGTGATTAAAAATAACGAAATCTGTTTTGAACAAACTTCTACATAAACTCTGTTTTGTATGTTCAAACAGAAAATTAAAATTTCAAAATTTCAGAAAATATTAAATTTTGTTTAAAAATATCGAGATACAAAACTGTGACAGTTTGAAATATAATTATAAAATTCGAAAAGAGCTACATTTGAATATGAATAATGAAATGTTTAGTTGAAACTTCTTAGAAATTAAAAAAACAAATTTTCATATAAAACCAGTTTTGCTTACGTCTTTCGATCATTCTACATCAATAGAAATTAAAAATAATATTTCTTCTAAATTTCTAAGTAAGAATATTATAATGTATTTTTGGATCGTGGTTTCAAACGAATTTCGCTGATCATAATTAACGTTCAATGTTACTTTTGTTTATTGTGGATCGAAAGATGTCTAATTAAATTTGCCTTTTGTGTGAACTTCTGTTTACACACATCACAAGAGTAAGGCTTTTCTCCTGTATGAATTCGAAGGTGTGTAATTAAACTGGACCTTTGTGTAAATTTCTGTTTACACTCGTCACAAGTGTAAGGCTTTTCTCCTGTATGAATTTTTTTTATGATTTTCCATATTTTGTTTAGTTGTGAACTTCTGTTCACACTCATCACAACTGTAAGGCTTTTCTCCTATATGAATTCGGAGGTGTGTAATAAAGTTTGACTTGTCTGCAAACTTCTTTTTACACTCGTCACAAGTATAAGGCTTTTCTCCAGTGTGTTTTCGGAGATGTGTTATTAAGGTTGACTTTTGTGTAAACTTCTGTTTACACTCATCACAAGTGTAAGGCTTTTCTCCTGTATGGATTCTTTCATGATTTTGCAAACTTTGTTTAGTTGTAAAGTTCTTCTTACAGCGTTTACACGAAAATTTCTTTTGGTTCCTTTTTCCTGCAATTAAAATATTTTTTATAAATAATATTTTATCGATATAATAAAAAGTTTCTTACATAAAAACAATAATTAAATCATTAATAATATTTAATTCAATAATCATTTTTATATTTAAAATAACATTTCTGTATCAAAACACACACAAAAATAATTTTAGAGATGATAATATTAGTTTATAAATATATTATGCTATTAATATTTTCAACAACAGCTAATCAGGGATGACATATTAAAGTAGACTAAACAATTTCTGTAAAATATTTTTTAAATGTATTTATGTCTTCATGAATTTTCTTTTTCTATCCTTGCAGTAGACCTTTTTCTTCTTTTGAAACGAAGATCACTGATGTAAGTAAAGCAGTGCATCAACATTCAATTTTTCTTATAAACTTGGAAAATATTTTCTTCAAAACTGTGTTTTGTGCAAAGAATAGCTGAAAGTAATAACAACATACATGAAATAAATTGTATAAAATTTTAATTTTACATGATTTTTAATATTAATAATAATTAATAATAAATTTAATATTAGAATGTATTATAGATAGTCTTAATCATTGCTATTATTTAATGAAAAATTGTGTTTTAAAGACTTATTTAAAGTATACTTTCCTCATAACTTCTCGATAAGATGAACTGATAACATTGGAACGTGTAAAATACAATTTCTTAAGAGTGAATCGTGGATTTCATTCTTGCAAGATTGAACTTAGTTCAATATAAACCACAATAAAAAAATATGTAACCAACACCTTATTACTCGCTTAGAGATTTTTATTAAAACAAATGTTTTCGATCAATTCAATAGATTATCATCAGGCTAAATGAAATACTTCATAAATGGAACAACAAGTTCAAAATTCAAAAATACTAAAAACCGATATACTACTAGAAACCTACGTGTAAGGATCAGAGAACACAGGTATGATATTAGAAAAGGATCCAGTACAACAGTATTGGCCCAGATGGCGCAAGCAGAAGGTACCTTGGTTCGATGGGATGAAGCGGTAATCCTAAAACAGCTACACTTTCAACTTTGGCAAGAACGGCTGAAAACTTACAAGAGGCGCATGAACTCTAGTATGATGTAAACGAAACTCTATTTAGTTAGGATAGACAGTATTAATACAGTAGAGCGTCGTTTATCCAAAACGTCAATTATCTGAAAGAATTCCAGTCGGCAAATTTAAATTTTCGCCAGTGCTGTGGCGCTGCAATCTTTGGCTATATCCTGGGCTACTCAAATATCTTACGTTTTTGATACTAAATTAACTTCTGAAGTATAATTTTTTATTGTTTTTATATTTTTCAATATATTTATTTTGTTTGTACAAAATANTAAATTTTGTTTAAAAATATCGAGATACAAAACTGTGACAGTTTGAAATATAATTATAAAATTCGAAAAGAGCTACATTTGAATATGAATAATGAAATGTTTAGTTGAAACTTCTTAGAAATTAAAAAAACAAATTTTCATATAAAACCAGTTTTGCTTACGTCTTTCGATCATTCTACATCAATAGAAATTAAAAATAATATTTCTTCTAAATTTCTAAGTAAGAATATTATAATGTATTTTTGGATCGTGGTTTCAAACGAATTTCGCTGATCATAATTAACGTTCAATGTTACTTTTGTTTATTGTGGATCGAAAGATGTCTAATTAAATTTGCCTTTGGTGTGAACTTCTGTTTACACACATCACAAGAGTAAGGCTTTTCTCCTGTATGAATTCGGAGGTGTGTAATTAAATTAGACCTTTGTGTAAATTTCTGTTTACACACGTCACAAGTGTAAGGCTTTTCGCTTGTATGGACTCGAAGGTGTTTAATTAAGTTTGACTTGTCTGCAAACTTCTTTTTACACTCGTCACAACTGTAGGGCTTTTCTCCTGTATGAATTTTTTTATGATTTTCCATATTT